CATTTCATTAAAGTGATCATGAATTACTACGAAATAAACAAGTCATCAATCACACATATGAAATTATATCCGCTTTTATTGGTTATTGGTTCTCTTTAACAATTCAGAATTTATAATACACATTTTTAATTTCATCCGAAATCGTTTCAATAAACGAACGACGAACTGTAAAATCGTCCAAAACCAGAGCTTTCGTTTTATATCCAAGTTTATGACTTCAGAACATCGTTTTATATGCTCTGGTTTCTATCGCCATGTTGACAGTAAACTCCGAACAAACATTGCTGGGAATAGTTAGGATGGTATTTAGGATGCTCGTTAAACACATCACTATCTACTTTGTTTCTAGATGAACAATTTTCATTGTTGATCATCCTTTTTTGTTTCACTTTCTCAAAAACAGATATTTCATGAAAAGAGATAGTTATATGCGAGAATTTTTGAGGGGTGATTTTGTTAAGAATGGAAAATAGAAAAGTTACTTCAGTCACAGTTTGAGTACTGGTACACCTCCCCATCACAATATTAATTTCTGAATTTTGTTTACCTTCAACAATGTGGGAACGCTAATCTGAAAACCGATGAGTAGACCAGGTCAATTTAGTAATTTACTAGGTTACATCCGCAATGCTTATGGTTATGAATTCCCAAGGATACTCACATTGTCACAAGTGAACCAAATGCAGGTGATGAAGTTATTAAAGACCGTCTGTTATTACCTGATGTAGTGTATAGATATAGGTATAAGGTTTACTATTGTTAATTATTTCCGTTTATTGTATTCGTTTGAAAATACACTAACGTTAGTTACGAATACAATGGTATAAAAACTTAGGAAGTTTCAATTAGTATAAAGAAAGAGGACAACTCCCAGAAGCACTAGAAAACTACAGGCACGCAGTGCGACTGAAACCAGATTTCACTGATGGTTATATGAATTTAGCACCTGCATTAGTAGTAGCAGGGTATATGGAATAGGCAATTCAAGCTTATATCACTGCTTTGCAGTATAAACCAGATCTCTACTGTGTTCGTAGTGATTTGGGTAATCCAGAGGGAGCTCTAGGTCGTTTAGGCGAAGCTAAGGCTTGCTACTTATTGAAGGCCATCGAAACGAGGCCAGTTTTTGCCGTAGCCTGTAGCAATCTTGGATGTGTGTTCAACGCGTAGGGCGAAATTCGACTGGCCATCCACCATTTCGAAAAAGCCGTTGCACTGGATCCGAACTCTTTGGACGCTCAAACTCGGCAATTTGCTCTAAAAAGCGAGGATACTCGATAGAGCGGTAACGGCCTATGTCCGAACCCTCAACCTTTCCCCTGATAATGCCGTCGTTCACGGAAACCTCGCTTGCGTCTACTATGAGCAGGGCGTCATCGACCTGGCCATCGACACCTACCGAAGAGCCATCGATCCCCAACCTAACTCTCCCGAAGCTTACCTCAACCTAGCAAACGCACTTAAAGAGAAAAGACAAGTTTTCGAGGCCGAAGATTGCTACAACACGGCGCTACGGCTCTGCCCGTCGCCCGCCAATTCCCTCAACAATCTGGCGAATATCAAGCACGAACTGGATGAACTATAAAGTCGCTACACAAGAACCAAAATTCCGCTACACTGCTTCATATTCCACTACGCTTATACATCTGACGCCATCAGTTCGCGCTTGCGCCATATCCAAAATTAAATACCACAGAACTTAAAGTTTATAGTTTGTGTACTGTTCAGATAGCACAAAACTGAACTGTCATTGATGTCAGGAATCAGGATAATGCTAATATTCAACCGCGCAACTCAGTAGATGGTACCTAATTTTCAAAATTTACAGCAGATAATTTTTGAAAGCTGTCGTCTCGACCAAATATTTCTTAGCTTGAAATAATGACTTTGAAAAGTAAAAATAAATATCAATTTGTTCACGTAGAAATAGTCACACTGAGCTTTTGAACGATCATTCGCGACAGGTCTAATCCATTCTTTCGAATTGAAATCAGACAACCAATATTGAGAAAAAGTTTGTTTTCGAGACTTTTTCTATTTTTTGAATTTGTCCCGTTCCCGTTTATTTCAACTGCGGTAGCTCTTTCGCTCGAGCTACAATCAGATCAGCTATCTTCCATTTCCACTGTAATTTGTTCCATATAATTCATAATTCTCGAGACAGTCGAGACTTTTAGTTCCCAGATATTGGAGGTTATATGGTTCATGATAGTAATGAAAATATCCAAAAATATTCTTCTACTCTTTCATCATGTAATGGCCTCAGTTATTGAGATTATAACGTATTAACTGTGCATTCAATTGCCAGCTGTCGGCTTCGAGTTCTGTCTGTCCATATTTTTTTCAATATTGATTATTTGTAGAAAATTCCGCTACTTTATGTTCAAATCCGCTACGCCGCTACCGTCCAGTAAATTCCGCTACGGTTGGCAACTCTGAGCGCGAGCAAGGTTACATCGAAGACGCCACCAGGTTGTGCCTCAAGGCGGAATTCGTAGCCGCGCATAGTAATCTGGCGTCGGTGCTGCAGCAGCAGGGCAAACTCAGCAAGGCTCTGATTCACTAGAAGAAGGCCTTCAGGATACAACCGATTTTCGCTGATGCTTACTCTAATATGTCTAATTCCAAACCAATGGATGTCTTCCATTGAGGATGACAGTGTTCGATGTAAGTGAAATTTTGCTTCTTCCATATACTACGTTGTGTAGCAATCCTGTGAATAATGTCTGATTCATATCCTTAACGAATGTTTGAAGTTCAAACGATGATATGAGTAGATTTAACTCATTCATGACATCTTGTAATGTTATCTAGATTGATGCTGACGATGTAATGAAATAAGTTTCCTGAATTGAAGAGGTTATATTTTTAGGAGTGATTAATTTTTGGGAAAGAAAGTTTTAGGCTTTCTACTACTCCATCTTGATACAAAAAAACATGGATTAGTAGAAAGCCTAAAACTTTCTTTCCCAAAAAATAGGTTTCCTATTTTGAAACAATGGATATTCGTCATTGAGGATGAAAGTGTTCCATATAACTGAAATTTAACCTCTTTCATATACTACATTGTGTAACAAATCTGTGAATGATGTCTGATGCAATTCTATAACGAATGGTTGGAGTACAAATCTACAAATGAAGCTATTCATTACTTAGTGCAGCTGGCATATTTTTTTGAGTTACCATATTTTTAAAGTGAAAATATAAATTACTAGCTGTTGCCCAGCCTTATATTAATGTACAGCCGAAGCTAGTGATCCTAGAATTTTGAAATATACGGGTAGATTCTTTGTATAGCGTAGATAAGCATAAAAAAAAGAAATCAGAAATTTCCACCCCCGAAGATTAAAAGGGGGGTTTGAAGATTGTATTGAATTTCTTCAGTTTTGAAGTTGGAAACCTGAAGTGGGTTGATAAAAAAAGATTGCAACTATTTGTTTAAAATGGTCTAGTATTATATGATTGTACCTCCAGATCCTCAGCATTGAACCAAAACACTTCTGATTTTTTATTGAAACTGACATGTCTCATAGGATTTTTTATAAAAATTATTATAAACAAAATTCTAAACAGATGAAAATAGGAAAGTTGATGTTCAACAGCAACAAATTATATTTCAGCTATGACTCTTATGAAAAAAAATCACTCAGTTCAAATTCTGTTAAGGATGAAGTCAGGAAAAACGACTGCAAAAAAGATTTATGTTTTCTGATATCGAAGGGAAGACAAGTTGCGCCATCTTTGAGGTGGTAGAGATAGTTTTGTAAGACCTAATGAAGGCTACACTTATTTGAGAGAAGAAATCTTCAGTGATGAAGTAAGGTAACTTCCAAGTGATATTCAAATTTGATTTTGAATGATATTCTATGTTGGTTTCACCCTTTCAGCCAATCTTTTGGTGATAATAATAAAATAATAATAGATCAATAGATATATTTATTGCTATACAACTGGCATCAGAAGAATTTCTCAAACTACCTATAATAAAAAAACTCAAGAATAACAATGAGTTATTTTCTAAAAACGTTTGTAGGATAACATGATTAAAATATCTTACAAAAAACAATTGTGGTTGGCGACGTTTCGAATTTAATTTAATTTTTCACGACTTTGTAACAATGAATTTCATAAAACATAACTACCACAAACTTCATTACTGTTATTTGGCTTTTTCATGTTAAAACTATTGATTAAATTGAAAATCATTAGACGCGTTACATACATACAAATAAAAAAAAACACTGTAGCAAGCAAAATATTCAAGACCGACACAACACAATGACATGAAACAAACAATTGGCTTTATCTATAAGATGGTACTTGTTTTTATTGATGTAAGAGTTACAGTTGGGAATAGGAATTTTTTCGGAAATTCAATGCTTGAATTGAAATATGCAGTATTCACGCCATCGGCATCCCTTCTAGTGTTGACACTATTGTATTTGAGGATATTATTCATTTTGCTCAAAAATCTTCTAGATAAAAATGATCGGACATTTAGAATCAATGGATGTTCAAAATGAAAAAAGTGCTCATGTTCTCTTTCATGATTGATAAAAGCTGTGAGGTACTTGATATTTAGTTTTTTAGAATCTCTCATCTATTTCAAAGCTCGTGTTTTAGGATAATGTTGTTAATGTTAATTTTTAGGATAATATGTTTCATCAGTAGTTACAGTTGAAGAGGCAACTTCAATTTGTTTTTTAATGAGTTTCAGGCTTAGTTTTTCAGACGAAAAGTGTTACTCATCTACTCACTATTCCTGAATGACCAGATATTGGTCATTTGGGTATCAAAATCGTAGTAAAAAACTCTGCTCATATTTCGATTTGCCATGATTCAACTTGCACAAAAGTAAAAGAATGCTTCGAGATAAAATTTGGTGAAGTACTCATGTGAAGTATCAATTAATATTTTTAACGAATATATTCACTTGCTGATGGAAATAACAAGGTCAATTTTGTGTGTAATCAGTGTAAACTATAATAATCAAAAAAGTATTTTTTTCAATTTTCATTTATTGGAGAGTTCTAAAGGGAAAAACAAAAATCAATAAAAACTCATTGTGATTTTTTACGTTCAGAAATATAAATTCTCGTGATTGGAACAAAGATTTGGAAAACTATTTATTTCTGGTAATCTAAATGATTCAGTAGTCCCGCCTGTTTTACCATTTTATAGAAGAGTCCATTCTCATTTTCCAGTAATTTCAATGGTTCGTTGAATTCTACAATAGCACCTCTGTCCAGAACCATCACTTTGTCACATTCCAGAATAGTATGCAACCTATGTGCAATGATGAACATTGTGCAATTTGGAAAATGTTGATTTATTATTTTGTGCAGCATGATATCCGTTTCATGATCCATGTTTGCAGTTGCCTCATCCAAAATGAGGATTTTGGTTTGCCGGAGAAGAGCTCTAGCCAAACAGAATAGCTGTTTCTGTCCAGAACTGAAGTTTGATGCATTGCTTATGACTAAATCCAGGTCAGATATGGATTTTTTCAAATTCACTTTCTCCAAAACAGACCAAAGATCTCTATCTTCAAATTCTCTGAATGGATCAAGATTTGTACGCGCTGTACCAGAGAAGAGTACTGGATCTTGTGGTATTATAGCAAGCTTTTTCCTGAGGAATTTCAGTGACAAATTTCTGATGTTGACGCCATCTATTTTTATTTTTCCCTGAACATCATACAATCTGAAAATTGAAGATATCAATGAAGATTTTCCTGCTCCAGTTCGTCCAACTATGCCCACTCTCTGTTTTGGTTCCACTTCGAAAGATAAATTTTTAAGAACTGTTTCATTATTATAAGCGAGTGAAACATCCTCATATTCAACACTTCCTTTACTTGGCCAATCATCTAGTACTTCTCCCCCTTCTTTCTCAGGAGTAATTTCAGTATATTCCAAAACTCGTTCCAAAGAAGTTAACTGGGTTTCTAATTCTGTCCATTGTCGAAGTCCCCATTGAACAGAACCACCAAGCATCGCCACTTGCGTTAAGGCAAGCCCCACATCGCCAGCGCTAACATCTGGAAGAAAGGTTGATTTTCTGTAATGATTACAAATTACTGATAATCAAAACTCATCAGTGTCACGGCTTTCAAACTCAAAAAACAGTGACACTGAAAACCTCAGCCAAAAAAGTCTAAACCATTTTGTCAATTAATACTCATAATAACGAATTTTACTGAAGTTTTATCCCATCTCCAAACCGTTATTTCAAATACCTTGACGAGTGTTTCAATCACCAAGTGGTCATCTTCAAGAGGAAGATTTTTCGAAGGGACTGGTTCGAGAGAGAGTCAGGCATCAAATTTCCAGAAACACGATAGCAGATGGAACGAAACATCCAATAAACGATAGTTGAAATAAAAACAATTATCAATCGATTGAAAGACAAAGCCGTCTTTCATTCGAAAGCCTACAAAATTAACAAAGTAGTGATTCTGGATAAATCGGACTACTAGGAAAGGGTCTTTAATTCCTCAGTTTGATATTCCTCTTGAAGATGATCACTGGGTGATCGAAACACGTATCAAGGTGTAAAAATAACGGTGTTGGGATAAAACTCCTGTAATATTCATTACTACATCAAAGGTCCCAAACAGTGCATAACAAGTTCTTATAATAATGATAGGAAATTATGAGGGAATGTATATGGATGATATTCTTAATATACTTTTTTTTGAAGAACTGAGATCAATCAACTGACTAGATTTGTTTTCTGTGGCTCTAACTGCTAGATAACTTGGTGAAACCAAGCCCCAGGTCAAAGCATCCATGAGCCATGCTGAACCACAAATTTTTTAATGTGTGCAACTATCTTCAAAGAACAATGGGAAGACTCCCATGGGATGGACATAAGAGTTGATTAACAATCAGCTGTACGTTTCAACGCCAAAGTTCGATACGAACTGCCGAACGGAATTTGCCTTCTCTTTTTATCTACAGGTTTTACTGACAGACAGCACCGCTGATGAGAATTTGGGTAGATATGAACAGTGCCATCAGAAGTTGGTGGCTTTGGATTTATATAGTTACTAACAGAGAAAGACAAAAGATGAATTTCATTCTGTGGTCGATGTCGCAGATTGTCTTAGGAACCCCATTTGTCGATGATATTCATGATTTTCAGTCTTCTATCGATTTTATGGATGGCTTTTTCGTAAGTGGAAATGTACTCAAGCTCATCCTTTGTAAAGAGCCTAGTTCAACAATGCGTTCCTAATTCAGTATAGGACCAGTTATAAGATTTATTTCAGTCTGGTGTTGAATTGCGAAAGCTTTCTTTGTTTCTGGTTTTGTAACAATAACTAGTTGAATTCAATGATCGGAGCTTTAGATATTTATTTATTTATTTATTAATATTCAAACAGACCAACTGGTCTAATTACATGGATAAACATACAAATATATAATATTACAAATGATTTATATTAATTTACAAGCCATAAATATGAAAAATAAAAGTGAAAATGTATGGTTTCTACAATATTAGTTGATTAGTTGAAGTTAGTTGATGATAAATTGATAATTTGTTTGATTATAATGTTTCTAAACATATTTTGAGTTATTGGCCAGATCAGTAGCAATAATTTGCTAGTCGACACATGGTTGCAAGAGGAGCTCTAGTAGTTCTATGTAAAACAGGGATATTAAATATCTAACTAGCTACCAAAAATTTTCAATATAGAGTTGAATTTTCATAACAAGTTTCAAATCTATGATCAAAAAATTTCAAATTTTGTATACCTTAACTTGTTACTGCATGAAAGTTGATAAAACTATCCACGATAATAATGTTCACACTATAAATTCGTTACCATTCAGTAATTATCACAAACATTNCATGTTTCCATAAAAACGCAAGAATCAACATATACTCGTATACCAGAATCAATCATTTATAATTTTGTTATTGAGATTGTTCATAGTGTGAAAATTGTGTAATTATTATCATGGATAGCCGAACATTTCATTTCAGATGTTATAAATAGTAATTATGGATCAATAATTATTTGAAAGATATTATTTTCCTTTTCCAATGGTTGGTTGAACTCTATTTCATACTTCGTATACTTAGAGAAAAGTGGTATCAGATTTGAACCATGAATTTTTAGTATAAAGTTGGTGAAAAAAGCCTGAATGAGCTTCGACGAGATATTTTACAAAGAAAACAACCTCTACTTTTTTATTACCCCGGTACAACAGTTCCTGTAACTGACTCACCTGTAGCAAAGAAAAGAAACTTTATAATAACTGCTGTCACCATAGTAGAACCTATAATTTCCATGAAAAAGATAAATCCTCTCATTGAACACAATGAAGTGAAATGCGCAGATGTATATAAATCTTGATGTCGATCGAATTCATCTATAAGGATTGCTTCTGCCTTGTAAGCTCTGATTGTTGTCAAACCTTCTAGTGAAGCATTGAGATGCCCGATCATAGGACTTCGACCTGAAAAAAAAACACTTGAATATCCCTACACTATTTAAGGGCAGCGTTTCCAGTGTAGATTTCAATAACAATATTATATGGGCATGATCAATGATCAAGGTGAAGTTCTAAGAACAATTTTTTTTGACATTTTTTTAATGTGAAGATTTTTTTTCATTTCTTAAACAGCAACAGTTGTATCTACAGTAATTTCCAAAATACTTTTTTCGTGTGATGGTATTTCGATAATTGCCGATTTGAAGGTTTGGCACATGTTTCAAGATATCGCTATGAATTCAATGAACCCCCACTTATTTTAAATGGCAATAGTGTGAATCAACAAAACAATTGAACTAATAGTTATGAAACTCTTCCTCCGGTAGCTTCTGTGTCAAAAATTGAAATTTCCTTCAAATTCGTAATTCGGACGTTTGTTTGAAGGTGTTCGGCAATGTTTCATAGCTCATTTTATAAGTTCGGACATTTGGATGCTGTGTACGAAACTGCTACTTTCAACTGAAGGACGAATTCTTTTCGCAAGATGAGGGACTGCCAATGGGATCGCCACTTTCACCGGTTATAGCCAATATATGATGGAGTGGTTTGAAACTCTGGCCATTGAAGAGTCTGGTTGAGATACGTTGACGACACCTTCATAATATGGAACTATGGGAACTAGACACCTTCCTGAAGCACATCAACAACGTAAGTCCTTCCATCAATTCCCCAATGGAGAAGGAAGTCCACAACGGATTGTCATTCTTAGACGTATTGGTGAAGAGAACCGACACTAAATGAGAAACATCTGTTTATCGAAAACCCACTCACACAGGACAGTATCTGATCCAGAAATTCAACCACCATCAATCGACTAAGAAAGGAATCTTCAAAACTCTACTAGACCGTGCTTTCGAGCTCTGTAATACAAAGGAAGATCTCAAAAAGGAACTAGGCATCATCAAAAATGACCTTCAACAAAATGGTTACTCCAGAGTGATGGTGGATCTGGCTTTAGCTAGAAGACAGCGAGACCTCCACAAGGAAGAGAAGCCACCACAACCAGTACTTGTACTCCCCTACATCAGAGGATTGTCGGGATTGGGTCCAAGTATAACATCAGAACCTGTTTCAGATCTGGGAACACTATCCGTAGCAGCCTCACGAAAACCAGGCCACCAAACGCGGACTGCGATTCCAAGAATTGCATTTACCGGATACCCTGCGTGTGCGGAAAATCAATAGATTCGTTGTAATGAATACTATAGTTAGGAATACTGAAGTTAGAAATGTTTTTAATATTTCCCGTTTCTGATAATACAACTATATCTAATAAAAATTTTGCATTCTCAATATAAACCAAGAGTTCGTCAAAGTGCTTTTGAAGACTTCTAATATTGAAGTGAGGCAAAGAGGCAACTAAGGAATTGCCTCTTAGGAAACTAAGAGGCAATTGAAAGTTCGCATTGCCGAACACAAGAAACACACACAGCGAGGAGAAACCAGCAAATCCGGAATATCAGAGCATGTTTGGACTCATCATCATAACATCAAGTGGGCTCAAGCTGAGATTATCCACAAGAAGGAACACTGGTTTAGGAGAAAATTTAAGTTATTACCGGAAGACCATTATAGATACTAACAATCGAAACATCGTGAATTAAATTTGTTTGGAATCTTTCAATTTGTAATTTTCATTTCTTGTTAATAATTTTTTTAATTATCATTTCGTGTTAATATTGAATTTTTTTTAAATTTTTGGTTGTTACTTGTATTTTATTCCATTGTCTTCTTACCATAATTTTTATTTTTTCAGGTAACCTTTTGTTTAATATTACTGGAGTTTTTTCCCAACACCAAATCGTTATTTTTACACCTGGAAATTTTTACACCTTAGACAATGGAAGTCCGAACTAATGAAATCGTAATTCGGAGTCATCGGATACAAAACTAAATTGAAAATTATAATTCTTATTTGAAACATCGGCTATCGAGGCAAACTATTCCATTCAATCGTTCTTGGATTCCACAAGTTCTCATACGGGGTTTTGATTGAATTATTGAGCTCCTCCAACCTTCTGAGAAAAATTGAAGCAATTTGAATGAGATACAAAATAGATATTGAGGTATCCTGAAATGTTCAGCAAAGAAGCCAATTATCACCTATGGTAATTCAGTTCAAAGCATTTCCTGATGAAGATTCTAAGAGAAAAAATAATTTTTGGCTTTTCATTTCCTACGTTTTTTATACTGGATTCACTACATTTGGAACTTCGAAATACTGTCAGTATTCCTTTTATTGTTTTAGTACTTTTTCAACATGTTGTTCATCGGATGAGTTCAACTGGCCATATCAAATTGTCATAGTTTAATGCACATGACATATGTATTACCTTCGACCTGAAATCGTGTTTACAAAACGAAACTGATTGCTTCGAAATTTCCATGTTGATTGTCACTTTATTCCTGATCTTCACCTCTTGTCACTCTATTCTTTGTTATTATTATTAAATTAAAATTCATGAGAAACCAGGGTGGAGAGAAGTCGAATGTATACCTAATTAATATTTGTGAGAAAACAGCTTGATAGTAAAAATGGTATTTTCGGATTCTGAAACATACATACAATCAATTATCCGCTTTTTCAGCGTTAGCTTTTTTTACCCCCATATGAACGAGAGTAAAAATCCATGAAAAATTGTGATTATTATGCCAAGCGACACTTGGAGTTCACGTACATTACTTTCTATTCATGTGATTTGATAACCGTTCAAGTTTCAACTACTCACTGAAAGAGAGAAAAAAATATAATACTTTGTTTATGTCAATTGTAACTTCAATACGATATTTTCTGAAGGCCGTGGAAGGTAGTTTTTGTATTTTATTCAATTACAATTACGATTTATACAGTGTGTAACAACGAAAACTTAACAGAGCCGTTTTTGAATATAAAAAGTGAAATTTTCAAAAAAAGCTCGGACACGTCGATTTCTAATCAAAGAGGGGACACCTTTCAGACTAATCAAATTTTTTGTAGTACGCACCCCCTCGGGGTGCGACGTAATTCATCCAAATTGGCTGGCTGTGTAGCATAAACTTTACACTTCAAATATCCCCACAAAAATTAGTCCAGTGGTGTTAAATCTGGTGATCGTGCTGGCCATTCAATTGGAACTCTTCTGCCAATCCTTTGTTCTTCAAAAAGATTATTCAAAAAATTTCGAACCTGCTGCGCATAATGGGGTGGTGCATCGTCTTGTTGAGAATGGATAAATTCATCTTGACATCTTGGATCCTGTTCAATTATTTCAACTATACGAGGTTGTATTGCTTCTTCAAGAAGTTGTAAATGAGAATCAGCGGTTAAATTTCCTTCAATGAAAAATGGACCTATAATATGATTGCCTAATATTCCGGCCCAGACATTCAACTTTTGGGGATGTTGGGTATGTATTTCTGCGTATTGTCTTTGATTTTCATCCGACCAATAACGGCAATTGTGACGGTTCACGCAACCATTCGAATAAAATGAGCTTTCGTCCAAAAAACAGATGTTATAAAGCAGCTGGGGATTTTGCATTAATCTCTCACTCATATCCTCACAAAACTGCTGTCTTCGGTCAAAATCATCCTCATCGAGTTCATGAACAAGTTTAATTTTTTAAGGATGGAATTTGTGGTTTTTAAGGATTCTCCATGCGCTCATATGGCTTATTCTGGCCATTGCTGATAAACCTCTGGTACTTAACCTGGGATTGGCGATGACTTGATCAATCACTTCAATCGCGTCATCGTCATTCACTACCCTTCTCTGAACATTTTTTTTCTTATTTGAAACCGAACCTGTCTCCCTGAATTTTGTGACCAAATCCAGAACGTGATTTCTGCTTAGGTGTTTACAAGGGTTTTGCTCGTTAAATAAAATTGATGTTCTGTTAGCATTTTGGTCGTTGCCAAAAAATAAAGCAATAACTGAAACCCTTTCAGCAGTAGTATAAGGCATTTTTAAACAAATAACAATACACGACCCGTTCAAAGAAAACAATCGAACGATGTACTAATGAAAACTGGAAGAAGAGGAGTGGGTTTTGATTTTAAAAAAGGGATTTTATTTAACAAAAAACTGATAAGATGAATCGCTCGAATTTTTTTTATTTAGGCATACAAGTTACCGAGTGGTCTGTCTAATGTATTATTAACATGGCAATTTCAACTTCAAATTATCTCGAAAACTAATCGTTACAAAAACTCAGATATCCAAAAGACCTTTAAAACAAGGTGCCACTCGACCTACTTCCCCTATCTAAATAAGGGTCGTCGGACGCACCCCTCCGATTAATCTGAAAGGTGTCCCCCTTTAAATAGAAATCGACGTGTCCGAGTTTTTTTAAAAATCTTACTTTTTATATTCAGAAACGACTCTGTTAAGTTTTCGTTGTTACACACTGTATATATGTGCCTTGATGTACAGTTGCCGTTTTTATATCATTAACATACCAATTCATTTATCCTATTTTTTTTTGTAAATCAATTTTCTTGGTCAATTTTTCACAAGTTCACCCATTGGTAATATATAGGTAGCTTTACTCATGACCATATTATATGTTGAAGTACATTCTGCAAGTATTAAGTGCCACTTTCTAGTAGCTGGTCGTGACATACAATTTTTTAATAATTTTTCCAACTAACATTTGATGTCACAAGATATGGACCATCAACTTCGTATATGGCCCAAAATCGGAACCAAATCAGAAAGTGGTAGGTTACTTTAGGTCCGAAGTGAGGGAGTCTATTTGACCCTCCACCGCAACCCGCAAGGGTTTATTATGGCTTAAGTAAATGAGTGTACTAAGAACATATACAGAAAATCTTTATGGAAGAGATTGCTAAAAAAAGAACTGAAAAATACTTTGAAAAAGTAAATATTAACTCAGATCGATTATTACTGGACAACGATCATTTAATAACATCAATATTTCAATTTTTTTCTGCTTTTTCAAGATTATCAAATTTGTAATATTGAAATGAGAAATGATAACTTGCAGTTTTCTAGTCTTTTTGTTTTCCATTTTTGAAAAATGATATTTATGGCTGTAATCCCTAAAAATTTAGGATGATACTAATCTCCGATCTTGATTTGATTTACTTTCTGAATGAGAGTCATTAATATCCATCACGACACCAGAGGCTTCCTTAAAGCTTTGGTACTAGTGACAGTGCCAAAAAGGTAGTTGGATATTGGATAATTTGATGAATGTAGCTGTGACTACATGGTAGGAGATCGGCATGAAAAATGAGGATTGAAACTAGGAAATAAATCCGTTTCTCCATTTATTAGACTTGACCTTAACTAATAATCATAATAAATTTGAGTTCAATGTATTTAGAAAACAGAGTTATATAGACATTTCAATCGCAACTGATTATTTCCATTCCGACAGCCATAAATTAGCACAGCATTCTCGTTACCTTTGTCTGCTAACGATCTGGATAGAGAAATTGAAACAATTATACAGATAGGACAGAATAATGGTGTCAACGCAGACACAATCCAAAAGTTAGAACAGAAAGCCTTAAATTATTTATAGATTGATATACTCCCAGATCAATCAACCAGAAACCATGAAGTATATAACTTTAACATATTTTGGTGAAAGAACAGGGACAATTGTGAAATTTTTCAGGAAAAACAATATGAAAATGGCATTCAGACCACATGCCAGGTTATTTCTTTTTTGTTTCCAAAGATAACGTGAAAAAGATGGAGTGTCTGGAGTATAAATGTTTATGTTGGACAATGTGGTTGAAATTCCTCAACAGAGTATGCTAAATATAAAAGGTTCTTCAGACTAGGGAGTTTTCAAACCATTCCTTGAATTTCAATCACAACTTCCTGAATCTGAACGATGAGGAAGTTTAACATTATTCAGGCAAAGGTTGGAAACTCAGATATTTGGAATCCTTGGAAATTCACAAACATAGGCATTGTGGATGTAACTTACTGAATGACTAAATTGACCTGTTTACTCGCTGGTTCTCATATTAACGTATCGACATCGTCGGAGGTTAACAAAATTCAGGTAATAAAGTAGGTGATAAAGTACCGTATGTAATTACCTAATGTGGTTGTATAGATAGATGAGGGTGTACATTGTTTGAAAAGTCCTTGTAAGGCGAAACTGCAGTAACGTTAGTCACAAATACAACTTGTATTGAAACTTAGGAAGTAACGGATTCATCCATAAATTTATGGTAAGTTTCATTTCTCTGATTTTTCAGGATATTGGGTACTCGTTTCATTTTGTACGTTAACAATTGACAGTTGAAAACAAGAGCGCAAAAACAAAGCATTTATGACCCAACAACAGGCAACGTTGTTTCGATCGGCCACAGGTTTCATCAGAGGTGCTAGGTTATATCACAATTGTTGGACTCCACTGTCCTTAAAGAATCTGAGTAAGTATGGATGATGACTTTCCCATCAAGAAGATGCCATTTGTGGAATTGATAGGGAACTCAATCATCGAATATCAAAGATAAATGAGTCTCCCCCAAGGCTAACAGTTACAAAACCAAGCTTCAATATCGACCGTCGAGATTCGTCCTCTATCTTTCACTGTAGCTTTCACTGCAAGGCAACAAGTTGAAACCCAGAGTTCAAACGTAACGCAAACAGCGCTATTTGGCCTTAGGTATCATCAGTCATACTAGGCTGAACCACTGAAAGATAGAGGAGAGCGTCTTTCATCATCGATATTCGATGATTGAGTTCTCTCGATGTCAAAACCGATGGGTATTGGTCCGAAAACAATGAAACAAATGCATATATTCAATAAGGAATTGTTGACATTACATAATCATGTCATTGGTGATTGAGTTAACGACTAGATATTATGAAAAAAAATATTTGAAGGAATATTTGAAAACTTACTCGATGCCTCCAGTCGTTTCAAGCTTCTAGCAGCAGGTATACAAAATCTCCTGAGGATCAATAATAAAGTGAAAACGAACAAAATATACACCAGTAATTGTATATCTACAGAGAGCAAGAGACTCAAATGACCAATTATAGAAAATATAGTCTGAAAAAACAAGAATGAATTTTTACGAATTATTTTTCATTCTTAACTCACCCTTAGACAGTCTCGGGAGATGAAAGGAACATTTTCATCAATCAGTGCTAAATCTGCAGAAAATCGATTCAAAACATTGCCAATATAGTGTGTATCGAAGAAAGACATAACAGCTCTGATAATACTACCAACCAATGCCTTATGAATATTTATGGATGCTCTCCTACAAAAATCGAAATTTGCATAAGACGTTATCAGTGCCGTCAAAGTAGCAGAGAAAATCATTATTGAGTAAACTTCAAAAGTTTTTTGTTCCTTAGTCTTAGCTTCCAGAAATGCAGAGATATTGTACAGGTTATTGCTCAATGTCGAATTCATAGACTGGCGAGTTGCTTCATATCCTTCAAGGTTCTGTTCCAAGTTGAGAACAGTTTGCTTTTCATCAACCCTAAAAAAATACATAGGTTATAATCGATTCGATAAAATTTCTGGAAATGATATTTGAATAATTTTTTATTCATTTATTAACTCAAGGCCAATATATAAGTGGAGGATAAAGTTTCGTCGCGTCGGTTCAACATTAAAAAAAATACTCAACATTTTAACGAAGAACAAGAACGAGAATGTTCCCTACTTATTCACCAAACTCAAACACCTGTTCATGCAACTGCAGTCTCGTAAAAATGTATTATTTTTCCCACTAACCGAGTTTTTGATGTCCACTGGATACTTGGACAACAAGAGAATTGTTTCGAATTATTGAGGTTCTTGTTGGATACTCTTTGTAGCTCTGAATTGAATTATTCCCTACAGTCTATCTCACCTTGGGTTTGAAGGTTTTCTGCAGGAAAAATTCTCACTTGTCAACTCCGTAGTACATATTCAGCAGGTAGCAAAAACGTATGTGACTTTCTGAAACTTCAACTAGCGTTTCCTAATATGACTGATAACCAATTCGTGCAAAGCTTATTGCTGAATCATCTGGAATTAACCAATTAGTTTGGCGCATGCTAAAAATGCGCCAAACTAACTGACCATTATAAGAAAAGAAGTATAGCTGAGGCACCAGTTAATCTAATAATAACACTGATGACCTCCAAACATGACTCCATCTCTGACGGAAGCAATAAACTCTTTGGAAGGTTCGAAGTAAATGCAAATTTCAATCTAGCAGACCACTATTATAATATTCATGCACTCATTGTTCACTGTAGTTCTGGCGTTGAATCTGGCCATTATTATGCATTGGTCAAAGACGAAACGGACGAAACGGAAAAAAACATAATCGAAAAGGTTTCAAATTCAAAAAATGTTCAGACTTTTCTTTAGTAGAGATTCGGTTTCGAATATTTTTTTATGGTGCAGGCTGTGACAGGTCAGGCTCTAACTTATCATAAAGTGATATGCCGGTACCCTATGATGATTTGTTGAAATACTCTTGATGGTGTAGATATTTTAATTATTTCTAGTTGAATTAGTTCATTTTCGAACTAATATACTCTTACTCCAACTCAAATGAGTACCAACCTCAGAAATTATTCATTTCATCCAGGTTCATTTTCTCGCCCCTTTTATACTAGCCTGCAAAAAAACGCAAACAAATTTCTTGACTCAACCTACCCTCTGCTTCATGAAAAGGAAATTATTCTCATGTACAGAAGAACCAGCAGCGGTCCAAGTTCAATTCCGTGTAGGGTTCCGAGTTAAAACTCTAACTTTCACAAAAATTTTTCTGATACTTCATGAAATAGAAGATATTTTCATTGATTCCGAAAGCAGGGAGTTTCTCGAAGTCTCAGAATTGACCGAGACTTTGAGATATAACATTTGTTCTCGTAGTCAACGCATACACCACTAGTGATGTCTGTCACAGTAGCAGACGAAACGTTTAGTACTACAAGTTCCAATCGCGTACGGCCTACCAGCCCGGATTATGTTTTCTTTAAGAGTATCTGCAGAAGCAATAGAACTTAAAAACACAGGGATATATTCAATGGAAAAAAAGAGGAAATGAGCATCAGGTGATCCAATTGAGAGAAACCAAGCGACGTGCCGCCTACTAATAATAATATAAAAGTAGAGTCTAATAGTAGCATCTAAGTCACCGCGTACGGACCAGGAACAACAACTCAAGCGATTGTTACCACATCGCCTTCGATAATGTCTACAGTGGTAGTAGTCCAAACGTGAGCCATAAAAACCTACAGATCACGGTCAGAAAAACTGGAAAATAGCTTTCACACAGTTATTTCCGGACGTGAAAGTTTACATTCTTCTTCTGTGAGAGTTATGGATTATTTTGAATCTTTTGTAATGATTTTAGGTTGATTGAAACCTGAGAAAAATTTTAGATTGACATTCCTTTGACCTGGCACTGTAAAAACAATAAATCAATAGATAGAATTACAACTGGAATTCATTGTTTCTTCATAGAAATATGACTAGCAATTTTGGGTGTCGTATCACTAGGTCCTTTTCAGTTCAGTTCTGAAGACAAATGAAGAGTTTGGACACTTGTATGGTAGTGAGCAATCCAATCAAAATCATGAATTGAGTTGATGTAATCCACTGAGTTTCATAACTATTCAATTAATACATTATTATTTGAATTGATAAATTACCGTATAAAAAGTATCTGATATTCTGGATGTTAATGATTCGATTTAATTTCAAATAGTATGACTACTCACCATCGACTCAATAGTTTATCCGAGTAACTTTGTGTGAATTGTGCAGAAGTTGCGAAAGCTATGTTCACGAAGAGTAAGAGAAATCCTCCACCGAATATGACATATTTTTTATAAACACCCAGAGAAACACTGCCTTCTTTCTTAACTTCCTTGTATATCCTCTTCCTGGTTGAAATTTGTTCGGTTTCCAAAAGTTTTGTATTTTCATCCGTTTCAATGTTGTCTTCATCATCAATGACTTCTTTCTCGAGATCATCATCATCAGGAACAATTTCTTTCACTTCTTGCAGTATTTTCCCACTCGGTTTTCCAAAATCGATAATTCGACCTTTATCCATTATCACAACACTATCTGCTTCGTCAATATGGTTAGCTGTTTGGCTAACTAGAATAACAATTTTATCTTTCAGGTAACTTTTCACACATTCCTTGAAGATGTGATCTTGGACATGAGCATCTAGAGCACTTAAAGAATCATCTAATAGGTAAATATCACTTTCCTTGTAGATTGCTCTTGCTAAATTTATTCTCGCTTGTTGTCCTTTACTAAGATTCATTCCCCTATCGGTAACTATGGTTTCATCAGCATTTTCTAGAAGATTGAAATCATATTGAAGAGCACAAACCCTTATAACTTCTCGATATCTGAAAAAATATAGATGACATAAGTGAAATTTAATCGCCCCCATGAATATATGGTTGGGTCAGTGAAGATTTGTTCAAGACAGTGAATCAATTGTAGTTGAATCAATATAAAGTCAAAGAGGTTGTTTCAAACCTCTTCTTCTTTAATGCAAGAAAAATTGAGGTACTGAATCGCCACATTTTGCTAGATTGAAACTGATTTTAGTGATAAATTCAAGGTTGGGATTACCAAATGTGTATAAGGTGTATACACAACAATCAACTACAAATACAATACTTACCGTTTTTCATCAAAATCTCCACCAAATGTAATGTTCTGTCTAATAGAAGATGGAAAAAGCCAAGGATCTTGGGAAGCGTACGAAATAGTACCAAAAGATGTAACCCTTCCTTTCGACACAGGATAATCCTGCAAAATTGTTTTCAAAAGAGAACTTTTTCCTGACCCCACTGAGCCAGTCACAATTATGAGCCCCGAATCCACCTTCAGACACAAATCAGTCAGTATTTCAGTAGATCCTATATGAACCGTAACTTCTTTTACTTCGACCATTGGATTATTCACCGAAGTATTTGGTGTATTAGTAGGTTGTAGTTCTTCAGCAGTGATTACTTTTTTTATTCTCGCCATTGCAGACGTCAGTTCTGCACACTTGCCTATACTCCAGGGTATAGAGATACCAATGGTCTCTTTGAGTTCATTGAAGTTTGTTAGGAGATAAAAGACGATAGTGGCGTCTGATGAACACCCCATCCAAGCAAATGCTATTATCAGTGTGTAAAATCCCAAGTTGGAAAAAAAGATACCCACTAAAATCAAGACTGTTCTCAAGAATAATGCTCGAAGCATCCTACGGGCTTCTTTACTGAAACATAGAATACATTTTTTAGTCATCTTACAGGGTGGTCATCAAAAAAGTTGAGATAGAACTGCCCAGACGAAAATTTGAGGGTTCATTAATACCTCATTGAAAATGGCTAACATTTTCCTTTATTTAGGCCGTTTCTTTTATCATGTAGTAACATTGCTTTTCTAAACTGTAATGGACATGAATACGATTGAATGGGGAAATACGTAACTCTCGTGGGAACAACGGTGGAGAAAAATTCAAAAGTACTATCGCCTTTCTCGAAGCCTACAGAAAAAATTAAAGATGCTATTTCATTTTCTTTTGAATACAATTGTCATTCATTTCGGAAAATATAAAAATATTGAAAAAGAGAATTGATGTAACAAACGATGTAAAATAAATCTTTGTTTAAACGTTTCGTGTCTATGTCTTCACAATTTTCGCGAAGATGGGACATTGGGTCGTAGAGTGTACAGAAAAACAACGCAAATACACAGGTACCGGTCAGAACAGCTGTGAACCTGAAAAACTCAATCACCTGAACAATGCTTTCAAAGGGAATGACTATAGCGAATTCGTGCAGGTGAGAGAATACCAAAGTATCCCCAGCCAGCTGCGTGAATGGTGAAGCTTTCCTTCTCTATATTGAAAATGTTACAGACCGGATAAGGAGAATTTTGGGAAAATACAAGGTAAAATCAATTTTCAGGCCAACGAAATTAATTAGATAGATCTAAGTTCATCCAAGGGCCCTAGAAAGCCTTAAGCAACACCGGGAGTGTACCGGATACCCTGTAGCTGCGGGTTGCTTTCTATTGAAACACAAAAAAAGATACATTTACAGCTCTCTGAATACGGACAAACCGACAAATCAGCTGTATTCGAATATGTACTCAAAGAATACATACACGGTATATCGTTCAATTTTACACAAATATGAGACAAAACCCAGGATTATCATGAAAAATTGCACAGAGAGGCAATAGAAATTCATAAACAAAAAGATAATTTCAATCAAAAGAAAGAAAATGAAAACATCAATTGAATCTGGTTACCTGCTCCTTGACTGCACACAAATTAGACCATTTAATTCAGGTAATGAAATGCCCACCACTGCGTCCGTCACTTCATCATCTTTGATAACGTCCACCCCGAAACGTTTAATTGATGACCCATTTATTTTGTTGAATTTCATATTGAATATAGGATACTGAAATAAATTTTGTCAAATTTCCACTGATATTTTCATTTGTTCATACCGGTTTCATTCAACAAAGATCCTAGATCCTAGGTCTCCCAAGTCGGAACCTACTTAGACATGTGCTCTGAAATGTATGACGATGATGCTTGATCAATAGTAGGTTTTTGAAGTGAAATACATTCATTTTTTGTATTTTTCGAAAAACCTTTTGACATCATTCCAAAGCTCCATTTTGTTGTAAATCATGCCCGAAAGAAAATAAAGCCGGCGCGAATGTACGATGGTTCCCCGCCACTCCAGAAGCAGTGTGAATAATGCTACAGTTTTTGACGGAACTTCGGCGAAATTTCTACGGCATTCGATTACGATATTTGAAGGCTAGCCACAAGGATATCAACACAGTCAAGTGGACGTTACAGTACGGTACGCGAAGTGATCTAGTAAGGTGATATACATTCAAATAATACTTGAAGCTTAGTTGAAGTGTTTGTTGTATTTAAAGTGAATTAAAATTAGGTTTGATTATTCAGTGTAGTCGATTATTGGTCAACCCATGGAGAAAAATGTAACATTTGGTGTCAGAAGTGGGATAATTGACTGAAATTTTTCTGTTCTATGGCGAAAACAAGGAGTGTCGATTACGACGGAATGGAAAAGTTTGAGAAAATGTTTGAGGCTCTGCAAGCATGCCTGACGGAAGAACGTAAACGCCGAAATAAAGAAGATGAACAACGGAGGGAAGAAGAAAAGTTACGCAGAAATGAAGATCGTGAATTACTACTAGGTATTCAAGAAAAACAGGTGAATATTCAGGAAAAACAGGAAAAAGACAATCAGATGTACCTTCATTTATTGGAAGATTTAAAATCTTCCCAAGTGAGTAAAGGGGTGGTCAGGATTTTATTAAGGAAGAATTTGGAAAGATATTTCAGAAAACAGAGTAGGAAATGAAAAAATTAGTCGATGAGAAACTCGTAGGAATTGAAAGGAAATTTGAAGAACAGCTTGAAGGAGTCGACAAAAAGTTTCAACAGGTTTTCCTGGAACTTCGGAAAGAATTACCGTAAGAGTTTGGGGCTGAAGTCGAAATTAGTAGCATTATTCTCACTGCTTCAAGAGTGGCGGGGAATAATCGTACATTCTCGCGCTCTTAGCTACGTCACGTTTGCTTCATGGTCACCAGCGGCGGCCGGCGTTATTTTCTTCCGGGCATGATTTACAATACCATCTTCTTAATTAGCAATGGATAAGGAAAAAAAAACTTCTTTGAATTAGGCCATATTATCAACGTTCTCACTTGAAAATCTTCAGAGAAATGAACCACTTGCTCACAATGATTCTTACATCAGAACTTCCTCTCAGAAACAAACTTTATATGTTTATAGATTTTCGTGAAAAATTCTTTTCGGGCAATTTTGCCTAGTGATATGTTTTCGGCGTCTTATTCCATAACTCATCGCATTCTATCAATTAGAAACAACTTTTGAACAGTAGTATATTAATATAGTCATCACAAACTCATTTTCTGAAGGGGAAATACTAAAATACCATCATGAAGTCAAGAAACATTTAATAAAAGCCCAGATTTCAGCACACGATCTAGAAATAGATAGTATTTACCACATATGGCTTAGCGCACTCTTGGTCAGGACGGAACGCTAGACAGAACAGTACAGTACTGATGGTATAATACTGAACAGACAGTACGTTTGCTCCCTATTTTTAAGCGTCTACGCGATATGGTTTGGCCTGTTTTAAGGAGAGACGGACGGTCTCTAAGGGAAACACAGGTTTCTTCTAGCTTTGTGCTGATTGTATTTGTGAAAACGAAAAAGAACAAACGATTGTTAGACTAATGTTAGAAGCAGAAGAAAAAAGATAAGAACTTGGGAATTTTCACACCTTTTTTTATTATTTGATCGAAGATGTAGTTACAGTACTTGCGAATGACCAACAGAAATTTTGAAGGAATTTTAAATGTTGTGAATATGGAAAGTCAACAGAAAGGCAGAAAATGAGAAGATGCATATTGTAGAGTTCAAGATGATTTCGCACCAACATCAATAGTTCATGGACAGCCATTTTCAAACACTTCATTTATTAAACTAAAATGGTGCAATGACAAAATCACTGCACGTACTGTAGACAGAAGATAAGTCATGGATAACGAAGTCTATCATATAGACCGTGTAGATACAAAGGTCTAGAGTGAGTAAGTCTAATCGATTCCACCAATCAACTCAAATAAATGAAAGCAGCCCCTTAATGAAGCCAGTAATTTCATTTGGCCAGCTGAAATGATGCAAGCTCTTTCTCTTGATCCTTCGTTATAAAGAGAACAGTTGCGTTCCTTCAGATCTTCAGATGTAGATAGTCTTGCAGCAAGGCTGAAAAATTTCTCCAAGTGTTGTAGAATTTTTCAAAGTAGACATGCGATACCAATTTGTGCTCTTCAAAGCTCTACAAGTATTGTAGCAGGTTCAGACAAAATACTATGATGCGTGTGTCTACGATATAGCCATGAATGTTTCAAAATATGTTGAGGTCTTCAAGTTTTTGACTGACAACTACAGATTTATAAAAAAAGTATATTCATACTTCCTGGCGGTATAAACGAAGTCTATCATATAGACCGTGTAGATACAAAGGTCTAGAGTGAGTAAGTCTAATCGATTCCACCAATCAACTCAAATAAATGAAAGCAGTCCCTTAATGAAGCCAGTAACTTCATTTGGTGAGTAATCTTTCAGATCAGCTGGCAAGAGTCCCGAAAAAATTACGTGTTTTGCTACCAGAGCCTGAATTTTCTAGTGGAAAATAATCCCGTCTAAGCGGCCCACCATATTGGTGGTCAGTCTGCGACTACTTGCGTCAGGTAGGTAAGGTTGGAATGTGTACGTCTAGAAATCGTACTTCGTCGAGGTTGTCGAATGGTGAAGGTGCAAAATTTCCACTCCGATGCCCGCAGCAACCTTTCCATATAAGGACTATCCTTGATGTCACAATAATTTTAGTAATGCAAGGATTTTCCACCTCTGGTTTGGATGAATCATCATTCAATCAGAGAAGTTTGCAGAACCATCACCTGATGCAGATTCCGCTTCTGCTGCTAAAGAATTTGGTGCAAGACAGATTTACAAGACATACTGCTCTTGAGAATGTGCCGATGCGTTTCTTGTCTGCACTACCCAGTCCACTTTTTTAGTAGGTTTGTTCAAGTGTTGGAGAACTCGGAAGCTTTTGATCTTGATTCGATGTTGCAGAAAGGACAGTTGAGATCTGTGGTCAACCTCAATATCCTCTATAAATTCAGCTCAAATGATGCAAGCTCTTTCTCTTGATCCTTCGTTATAAGGATTACAGTTGCGTTCCTTCAGATCTTCAGATGTAGATAGTCTTGCAGCAAGGCTGAAAAATTTCTCCAAGTGTTGCAGAATTTTTCAAAGTAGACATGCGATAACAATTTGTTCTCTTCAAAGCTCTACAAGTATTGTAGCAGGTTCAGACAAAATACTATGAAGCGTGTGTCTACGATACAGCCATGAATGTTTCAAAATATGTTGAGGTCTTCAAGTTTTTGACTGACAACTACAGATTTATAAAAAAAGTATATTCATACTTCCTGGCGGTATTGATTCTCTCCCCGAAGAATTTTTCCCACGTGTACATTTTGATTATTCTGATTGTTGACAACGTTTCCTGGGTCACTTGCAATCGCTCATCAGTTTTCGCACATGCTGCCATTCTCAGGTTGTTGATCCATTTTCCAAGTAACACTAGAAAAATTAAATAAATCTAATAGCATACTGGAACTGGCAATAAATGATTCATTCATGTATATATTTTCCATACTCACATAGAAAGGGTAAGGAAGAAAATAATATTCCAATTCCAACAAATGAAGCTACTCCAATCTTTGAGAAAATCAAATAGCAAACTACAACTATCTGGACGATTCCAATAACAACATCATTTATAGTCCACATAGATTCTCTCAATATTTGTACATCTTTCGTTATTAATGTCACAATATTGCCTAGAGAAATTTCTGATACAGCTGAAGGTGTCAGTTTCAAAGCTTTCCTGTATAAAAATGAAGAGAATGCAGTTTTTATCTCAACACCCAGTTGCTGAACCCAAATAACGTAGTTGCTATAATAAATACGGTATATTTGCTGAATAGTTATCAACATAACAGCGTAAAAATAAGCATCATTTCTTGTCATTGTCGTTTGTTCTGCTTTGAAGTACGAAATAAGATTTGTGAGTGCATAGGGTTCCAAAATTCTGGAATTAGAAAAATATATCAAAAAAGATCATAATAGTTCTTCAACATAATCAGAGGGTGCCTAATCAATAATAATAAGAATGAAGACCTTCATTATAAAAAAAATATTCATGCTATAACATAAATATAATATTGGGCGATGTTCAATTAATTTAAGGGGTAGACTGAATATCTGTTCTCCCACCTAACCCTAAATAGACAGATAAAATAATTAGGTAAATGGAAAGTAAATAGAAAGGAATTGAAATAATTAGAGGATGTTAATACTGATTGTTGATGATCTCAACACTCTCACTCCCGGCCATTTTTTAACTATGGAACCTGTCTCCAGTCTACCGCTGCCTGATTATTCTGATGTACCCCTAAATCGTTTAACGAGATGGCAACTATTACAACGCCTACATCGGGATTTCTGGCATAGGTGGCATAAAGAATATTTGCACACTTTGCAGCAAAGAGGTAGGTGGTTGAATGGCGGTACTTCCCCTCGCATCGGTACTCTTGTACTTATCAAAACTGATAACCTTCCCCCATGCAAGTGGTCGCTCGGTCGTATCTCCAAATTGCATTTTGGTGATGATCAAGTCGCGAGGGTAGCAACAATTAAAACAACGCATGGTACCTTGAAGCGCCCCTTGGTCCAGTTGTGTCCACTTCCACTTGAATAGTACACGACTTTTCACTTTTCTTTTCAGCATTTTTTGTTTCATTTGATGTTTTGAATATTTATAATTAATTTTATTCAGTTATATATTAGAAAATGCCTTCTGCATTTTGCGGGCCAGTAAATGTTGCGGAACGGCTAAGATACTCATTTTTATTTTCTCAATTTTGCCTCACCCTGTACCCTCAAAACGACTTCAATATGATTGCGCCCTCTGTGGTGTGTTGGAGCGATGAAAAGGGACGAACATTAGTGTTGTTGCATTGTTTTTGTGTGGTTGATTGTCCGCCATTCTCGACTGCCCAGTTCAACTGTGAATTATTCGTTTTTTTGCTGATAATATTTATGTTTATCACACCGCATAATATCGTGCTTCTTGATACACGGATTAGCTTCGACCACAAGAACTGGTACCAATCTCAGGTCTCTGATGAGACAGCCGCAATCCACTCAAGGTAAATCGTCTTTGAGGGATTTACTTTAACATTTTGTTAAGTATCATAACGGTATACAATCCCTACTGTTCCTATTACCGTTCCGTTACAACATGTTCTGACACCATATCAAGTACAAGAATGTATTCAAAAACATTCTATTTGTATCAGTGTATGGATAAAGATCGATCATAGTGAAAACTGTATAATTATTATATTAATGATGCGTCGGAGTATTCATAATTTTTACTTACGTTTTCGATATTCTGAAACTCAAATCTACAGCACATACCAAAGTATATTTCCAGCCAAATGCTTTCCACATCACTTTCGAGATAGATGGTTCAGAACTCCTCTTATTTTCTAACTTCCACTGCTCTTCCAGTTTATTTCCACATTTTTTCGAGCCACATATTTCGACAACTTCATACAAATCTTCTTCTTCGAGATCATGTTTGAAAGCTTTTCTGAATGTGCCCACCACATATCTGAAAATTTTATTTGAAAATCAGAACCGTTCTCAAAACTATGAAGAACTTTTTGTTTGATTTTCCGGATTTTTGCTTTGAAAAAAGTAGAAATCAAGAATCTACAACTGGAGGAAAAAAGTTCGAAGCAACATCCATTCTGTGATTCTGGGAAAATACCCAAGAATTCCAATTTCAGAAAAGCATAAAGACGATGATGATGATACCAAGGTAGTATAAAAAGTCGACTGAAGAGATCGCAAATGAAATTTAGTTCTTCACAGGGTCGGTATTTGTCATGATTGTGATTTCACGTTTCAAATAGATCAGATATAGCTGTGAAGGTGTACAATCTTTCTTCATTATCATCACCGTCTCCTGAACTTATGTTCTGAAGGTTTTCATAGAGATTAATTTGAACTAATCTGCAAGAAGTGTTGCAGAGTAAAATTATAATGGCTAGATGATATTTCAAGGTTTTTCCATAATAAAAATTATTTGGACCATTTAGAAATATCAATTGCTATCCCTACAGAAAATTTAAGACAATTCACTTTATGAGTATTGTTGAAAATTGTTTCTGAAAATCTTCTCCTAAATTCCCCCATATATTTGAGTGACAGTTGTATGTAGTCTGTTCTTTGTAATAAATATTTGCATTCTTCTAATCTATGATTCATTTGCTCTAGCATTGACTTAACTCAATCATAATTGTGCCAAGATCAGTAATGAAGATAATTAAATGAAACTAACTCAGATGGTTATCTCAAGGTAGAACTTGTATGTTTCTCATATTCGAATTCATATGTCCCATTACCCTAACAAATTGGCTCTGATTCCTAGAATTGGTGATTTTATTGGTAGTCAGATAAGTCACTTGTTATAGTTGGTGATGTGGGTATTCATATCTTGACGAGAATATGATGAGCTGTATCTATCGAATAGATGCTTACTAATTATTTCCAATAATATATTGGTTAATAATATTCATCCAAAAATAAACTTGAAGACGATCGTCAATCTGGTCTGGTAATGCAGAAACGTCTCATTTTCATTTTTTGTTTCTTGATAGTTCCTGCTTAGAAAGTCAAAGTTTCAGTTTGAACTTATAATGTTGAATTCAACTGCAAACTCGAAAGAGTTGAAACTAGTTCTGTTTTTTGGTTGAATATTTTCTGTTTGTTGAAAATAAGTGATGAGAATCTGATGAGGAGAGTTTTGAACTTTGTAATCGAAGGAACTCACACCTCAATCATATTGAAAGCCCTTGAAAAACAAACTGAGAGGTTTGTAAAGCAAAATTGGAAACTTGCAGACCGATAATAGAAACTAATCGTTCTACCTACAACGAACATCCTCTTATCGTCAACCACAGATCAAACAAGTGGTGGAATCATAATTTCGCACGGAGTACATAACAGGCTAAAAAAACTTAGAAAGGGCAAGGGACCTAGGTATCTGCGATCATTACAAAATCATCATCAAAAAATGATCCCAGATACCTGAGTAAACTTAAGAGAGACTCATTCAAAATCATTACAAAATCATCATTAAAAAATGATCCCAGATACCTGAGTAAACCTAAGAGAAACTCATTTTGAGTTTGCGTCAGACTCTAGACGATATTTTCGAAGGTGTCACAGATTTCAATGAATTATCCAATAACAAAAACCGGGGAGTACACAAAAAACAGGAAGAGACACTCTAAGAGAGGTCTTTCAAGTGCACCTCTCTGGGTCCAAAATCACAAGTAGTGGACGTATTCATAGCTGAATATCCCTAAAATGCAATAATTGACTGGTGGTAAAGAAAATGATAAATTTGGAGAAAATCAAATGGGCCATATAGTCATTCCAACCTTATAAGCACCGAAATTAGATGGCATTCATACAGAAACGCTCAAAAAGGACCGTAAAAATTGTATTTAATACTCAGGAAAAGTGAGGTTCTGGGATACCCAAAAATTAGGAGACTTCATTATAAATCGAGAACCATAGCGAATGCATTTAGACAAATCACTCCCATGTTATTTGTATTGAAGTCATCAGAAAAACAAGTTGACTGATATTTTAGGAACATAGCACAACCAAACCAGTGCATCGAAACAAAAGCGCATATAGATCAGGTCGAAGGAAACGGATCTATGCCGGGTCACGAGAAGAGCAGAATATGCTTACGGAAACAAACACGTACTTTGTTAGACGAATGATACCCTGAAAAAAATTCGATTTTTAATTATGGAATATCATCAATTATGGATTGATGATGGCCACTACTTTGCACTGACGAGAGGCCAATTAGCCCGAAACCAGTCTGCCCGTTCCTACAATTGAAGATCGATTCCAGCAGTTATATCGCCAACAGCATATGCAGAAAATACTTCTGTGAAGATTCCTTCAAAACGAATAAAGATACAAAATGGAAATGCCTACAGAGTAAAAAGAAATAAAAAAGAAGTAGATGAAAAGAAGCAAGAAATTGAAAATGAGTTGAAAATTTATGCACAATCATCTTCGGGTGATGACTGGACTATTTCTCTCAGAGATCACTATTTATAGGTCATTCGAAAGCTTTCATCTATCTTCTCTTTCCTCTCTCCGCTTCACCGGTTCAGCAGAAGTTGACCGATTGTCGGGATTTGACCGTTTTCACTTGATTACAGGTTTTTGTATGTTGGGTATTTTCAACGCTAGCTTGCATGAATGTGTCGTTGAACAACATATATGCAACTTCTTTGAACTTCCTCCCAAACCAGTGTTCCTCTCTGTAGATGATCTCAGTATGGGACCACTTGATGTTATGTTGATGAGTCTAAACACTACACTGTAGTTTTTTTCATCATGTATGTTGATTCGTTCTCTTGTATTTTCATTTCACGTTTCATTACTTAATATAATTTATGTTTTAGCTTTTCATTGCAATTTCATTTTTTCATTCATAGGTTTAGAATCACTTAATTCAAATTGAGAAATGTTTAACAACACGTGTCTGGTCATTTAATTTATGCAGACGTTATGAAGATCAATTAAAATTCGTCATAAAAGTTATTGAGGATCATCTTTGATAAGATGATTTCAAATAACATATAATTGTTTTACAGAGTCTTAATTCTTAATCGTCTAGCTTCAATATTGTGTATTATATTTGAAAATCAGAAACCAAAGATAAAAATTTTGTCAATAAAATTACTGTCAAAAAAGTAGTAGTTACAGAAAATATCGAAATTTCAAAATTGTTCAAGGATCTCACTTAATTGCATCAAAGTGACTAATGAGTTAAAACACTCATTTATGACTATTGATAGACACTACCAATGATTTCTTACTTTTCAATTAATGATTATGAAAATGAAGAATACTTGTATAGCTATTACGAGTAATGTTCATTATACGATTTTTCTTAAGTGGAATTGTTGTTCATAATTTTTCCAAATGATTATTTTTTGCGATATAATTCATCTGTTATTCAATTTCATGATAATCAAAATAATGAATTAATTCTTCCTAGTATTATTTATGCACTGATAGTTCCAGAGTTTTATACTTACGAGAAAGTGATTAGGGAAAGAATATTGGCACTTTCTCTTGGATTAACTTTTCTTTTCTCTTTCTCACAATGATCCATTCTGCATATAGTTGTATCAGCACTGTTTCGAAAAAGAACGCGAAATCGATTGTTGTAAAATAGCTGTGGTGATATCTAATCAAAAACAAATATATTAATTCTTAAGCATTGTAATAATTCAGTGTTTCAGAGGTATGGATAAAGGTTTTACAATTGTCGTCAAATATTTATTCTGAGAGAATAGAGATTTCAATGATACTTGATTTGTATTAGTTTATTTGAATGATATTATCAGATGGAAACTTTTCATTTGGGAGCAATTCTTCATCATCTTCTTCGTCGATTATTTGGATTTCAGTAAATGATTCCCGATTATGTGAGTTCATATTTATGATTGGTAGGTGCGACACATGCTACACAGCTAAAAATATTCTAGCTCAAAAGGTGCATATAAATGAATAATTTCATTTTTATTTTACTATATGAGCGAAAAAAAACTGTAACCAAATGAAGAATAAATAAAATCAAAACAAATGTTCCTCACATTCGTCGTTCAAAATTGTGTGAAAAAAGTTTTGAATTGAATGATCGTGGACCCCTCATACTCTCGTTGTGATAAGCCTTAGCTGATCCATTCAATTAGGAGAAAAAAGTGTTAAAAATCACACGTCAAAAGGTAAGACCTCGTTAGTGCTTAGCTCGCACAAGTTTCGACTTCTAAGGGTAGTCGTTCGTAAGGATGCGATAGCTGGTTAACGGAAAATACATATTTAAACATATATGGTGCTCATAAATTGATTGAAGGATTAGTCGACTAATGCTCATTGTATTCTACTCCATGAACTGGACCTGGAACATACACTTCGAATAAATTTCCTTAGAAGACTGCGAAATGTGACATACGACTGAGGACAACAATTTTGCCAACCGAGAGACTGAAAAATCATTAAGCAATACTTTGAGTATCAATTCAAATGTTTTTTGAAGTACTTATAATTTATAGGTAACTAGTACTATGTTGCTGTATCGGTGCTGTTCCAATGTTTTGACAGAATCAGAATCAACAAACTTAGGCATGCGCAGCGTTATAGAACAGTGCTTTCAAAAAAAATTCTACAGCGCCATCTAGTGGTGAGTTACAGAAAAATTGATAGCTCAACGATCGGTTGAGCGATGTGGAAGTTTATCACTTACCAACCAACAAACATCCATTTTTATATATATGATTATACTTGGTGGCGATATGATTTCTGGATAATTTAACTTTGAAGAAACACCGTCATGAACCATTTATTCATACTGCTTTCACTTTAGTTGAAAAAATCATTTATCTTTGTTGAAATAATTTAGCTGTAGTTTTTATACAAATTCAAAAAATTAACTTTCATTGCAGAATTTTATGTTTGACGTTATGTCTATAACCGGGATAGACATACAGAGAAACATCAGTTTTCTATTCTCAAGTATAGTCGTAGTCTCGAAATTATTTGAATTCGCAATTTGCTACCAATTTAGACGTTGCTTGGTAGCAGCCAAGAGGTTCCAAAAGCTTGACTGTCAGAGAATATTTCTATTGACTTGTGTTGAGGCTGGATTCTTCCCATCTGTCTGCACACAATTCAATAGCGTAGATTTCCGCTTGAAACACAGTCGCATAGGTCCCTAGGCAGGTTGATATCTCTGTTCTAGGTCTGCAACTGAAAACACCTGCACCAGAGCCTGAAGGTATTTCTGATCCATTTGAGAACCAACAACTATCTCTTGTCAAAATTTCCTTCTCCCAGAGGATCCAGTCTTCTCTACTCGAGAAAAGTACTGTATAAGGCAGTTCGTAGTTGAAAGTTGAAGGCATAATGTCAAACGTCATTCCCAGAATGCTGTGACTTTCAATGTGAACAGCATTGGATTGATTTGTGTAATTGGCGATGTATAAAAGTCTATTTTCAGTCCATCTAGCCTCTCCTTCCAGAAAAATGTGAAGAGGAGGTAGATCTAGAAGTATCTCCATGGCCGCTGACGATGTGGTACTGATGACACCACTGATAGCCAGACAAGCCTGTCTCTGTAAACCAAAGGCTCCACCTGAGCCGTTTTCTGTAAAGTCTTCGGCCACCAGCTATTGCACCATAAGTGATCATTGGTCTAACAATCATTACATAATTCCAGTTGATTTGTTTGGGACCTTAACCCCAAGTTTGAATTACATTGGTGCTGAAGAGACAGTAAGGCAACTGTCTTATTCCAAAATATTGGATATCCGCCATTGAGGATGACAGTGTTCCATGTAAGTGAACTTTTACCTCTTTTGTGTAGCAATCCTGTGAATAATATCTGATTCGATACTCCAAAAAAGTGTTTTTCCTATAAATCAACGTTTTTTCGTGTTATATGAAAGTAGTTATTTTGAGAGGTTTCTTACATCCAGTTTGTGTTACTCGTTTTCATGATCTATATATCTTCATAGAGTTCATTCCTCAAAATGACAGTAAGTGAATAATATATTACAATATATCTATCTAGTCTAGTATTTCGAGAAAAAAATACAATGGGCCTATTCTCGAGTGAATGCGGTACCAAAAGTATACTTTTCTTGTCGCTCGAAAAACATTGCAAGGAATTAAATTGTTGTATTCTCGATACAATTTGTAACATACATATACGTTATAAATTTTACTTGGAGTCGTATAACAATTTGGCATCCAGTGTCCAAATTGGTAGCTGTACAATAGATTGGGGTTCGCGGTACAAAAAACATATTTACTATGTTTTCGGAGCAAAATCTGAAGCTGAGGAGTGTGAAATATAGTTCTAATTTTACCTATGAAACGTCTCAGAAATGTTGGAATTATATCACTATGAGGTAAAATTGAAGTAATTTCAAGAATCAAGAAGTGAACTGGGTTTCTAATTCTGTCCATTGTCGAAGTGCCCATTGAACAGTACCACCAAGCATCGCTACTTGCGTTAAGGCAAGCCCCACATCTCCAGCGCTAACATCTAGAAAAAAAGTTTAATTTTTGATATGATTTCAAATTACTGATATTCAATACTCATGCACTGGTGAACTGATATGAACATATCACCACACTTGTTTTAAGTAGCTCAAACTGCTAAATAACTTGGTGAAAACAAAACCCAAGGACAAGACATACCTGATTCAATACTGAGAAAAACGCTGTTTCGATCTGTCATAAATCTCATCAGTGGCATTTCCGGAGGTCTGTTTTTCAGAAGATTTTCTTTATTTCAGCAATAACTTGACAACGCCGTAAAATTTTTGAAAAAAGGAAATACCTCCTTATGTGAAAGATTTTGCCCAGTTCTACGGTGAAAAGATGTACAGGAAGGGTCCATTTGAAAAAATTATGATTTGTATTGCCCCGCTTCAAAGAAGAGTGTTTCTTTGAAGCGTGTGAAGAGTGTTCCAAAATGTTCTTCAAATAAGCAACAAAGTAAACAATGTAACTTTTATCTGAAAAATTTTATCATACTCCTCATTGTAGGCGAGATACTATACTTCCTCACACTGATGAGCCACCCTATATATATACTCAAGCTAATAATTCAAGGAGAGTAACCACGCATTCTTGTTGAATTTCACCAGTTCCATTGGTTGATATGATTTGAAATCTCTGAAAGAACAAGTAAAATCAAAATTGAAAAGCTGAAAATATGAAATATATTGAGCAATAAAACGTAAAATGAAATCAAAATAAAATTAAGTTAAGCAAATAATTGAAAATTGGACAATTAAAAAAGCTTAAAAGAATTCAAACCACGTTACTTCACGACGTTTCGATTGTTATGATCCACAATCGTCTTCGGGTGATAACTGATCTATTACTCCGAGAGAACACTTCCACCTAACTCCTCTTCCCTCTCGCCGCTTCACCAGCTTAGCAAGAGTTGACATTTTTGCTTGATTACAGATTTACATATGTTACGTATTTCTACGCTAGCTTGAGTAAATGCGTTGTCGGATAACATATGCAGCTTCTTTGAACTTCCTCTCTGTGGATGATCTCAGCTCGAGACCACTTGATGTTTGTTGATGAGTCCAAACGTGATCTGCTTTACCGATTTACTGGTTTTTCCTCGCTGTGTGTTACTCTTGTGCTCGGCAATGCGGAGTTTTAATGGCCTCTTAGTTTCACCGATATAGGATTTTCCGCACTCATAGGGTATCCAGTAAATACAATTCTTGGAGTTGCAGTCCCAGTTTGGTGGCCTGGTTTTCGTGAGGCTTGGATCCAATTCTCCTCATCCTTTCCGACAATTCTCCGACGTAAGGAAGGGCAGGCACTGGTTGTGATGGCTTCTCTTCCTTGTGAGGCTCTTGCCGTCTTCTTGCCAAAAATTGTTTCGCCGTGGTTATTTCNGCAACGATCACTGCAGATCTCTCCCGTCGTTTCGGCACTCATCTAGAATTGTCGTTGCGGTTCGTCGATCGCATTCTTTTCGCGGTGAGTCATATGTTTGGTGTCTGAGATAACGGTCAGGGCCGGCTTCAGATTCATTACAATATTGAAGTCGAAAAAAGATAACATATAGGACCAGTAATTGCCTGGGTAGACTCATGAAGAACAACAAGTCAAACAGGGACAAAGACAAAAATTTACGGGTAACATGTGTATCGTACTCAAAAGTTAAAATGGGATGGACTTTAAGAAATTTTAAAACGTGAATCTCTGAACATGAAAAAAGTTTTGAACAAAAGAAAATCAATTCCACCATTCCACCTATAGTTGCCACTTTTCAGAGAACGAGCATAATCTCAACATCAACTACCATTTATTACACACAGAAAATAATGGACAAAAATTGAATCTGTGGAAATCTCTGGCAAGCAACTAACAAGAAGTTATTTCCTGGCCATTGTTGAACATGTTTTCATAAAAAGCCAAGAATTAACATATTTATGAATCACCTGTTTTGCTAAAAGTAATATTGGATTATAATTGGTTTTTTCAAATCTACCTGTTTCACCAGAATCAATCATTTATCTCATTCATCTATTGGGTTTGAACCTATCCACTGTTATTGGCATTGTTATTAAAATTGTTCAATTCTATTCATGAACTATTTTTCAGGACGTGATATTTAACAAAAAAATTTACACCGTCATTACAACAGTACCAAAAAAAATTAAGTTTATTTGTTCCTAACTAACTCACCTGTAGTAAAGAAGAGAAACTTTGTTATAACTGCTATAACCATAGTGGAACCAATAATTTCCATGAAAAAGCTAAATCCTCTTATTGAACACAATGAAGTGAAATGCGCAGACGTATATAAATCTTGATGTCGATCGAATTCATCTATAAGGATTGCTTCTGCCTTGTAAGCTCTGATTGTTGTCAAACCTTCTAGTGAAGCATTGAGATGTCCGATCATAGGACTTCTACCTGAAAAATATCACTTGATTATCCCTAAATTGTTTCAGGGCAGCGTATTCAGTGGAGACTCCTGTTTTCAATATCACATGGGAAAGACTAAAAACAAGATGGAGTTTTTGGGACAAAACATTTTCGAAATTTTTTTTATCTTGAAGAATGTATTTTTCATTTCTTCAAGAGTAGGTGNCGTTTCTATGTTTCTAGGAGGTCATCGTGAAAAATATGAATTGAACTTTTGTTCCACTTTCGAATGAATATATTTCTCTGAAAATATCTTTGTAGGACGAAATTGCACCGTTAGTTTTGAATACAATAGAAGTTTCAATTCTCATTTTTCATGACTTCAACTACTCACTAACAAAAACAAAACTGTAATATTTGTTTATATCCATTGTAACTTCAAAACAATATTTTCTAAAGACCGTAAAAGATATTTTTTGTATTTTGCTCAGTTACATGAATACCAATTCATTTATTCTATAACTTTTTGTACAAATCAACGATAATACCTGTATCACACCAGACAACCTGAGTCAGCCTAAACACGCTTTACGGAATTTATCCAATCCACGTACAGGTATTAGCACACCACACTGCCTAAGCAAACATAAATACGCGTTACGCAGCCGTAATAGTAGAGTAACTACGTTTTTTTACGTTATCAGTCATGTTCTTTTCCTTTAACGCTGCACACACCCTGTATAGTCCACTTAATGTTTTTTAATCCCATTTTTCATTCATCGTTATTATTATACCATTATTTTAATTACTCAACCACGCTGTTATTTTTCAACTGAATCTCTCCAATACTCCTTCTATCCTTCCATGCATCAATTATTTTGCACATGTTGCTCTACTTGTTGCTCTACTCGTAATATCCAGTCATAGGAGATTACCTCAGCATGTAAAAACCTCGCGCCAGCGAAACGTCAGGAAGAAATTCCAAAAATCTACGCCCTTCAAACCAGAAAAATAGTGACCCTGAAAACCTCGGCCGCGAAAGCCTTAACCATTTTGTCACAGAGGACGAATCTCGTCGGTTGTCGATATCCTCAGAGAGACGTTAATTACTGCCGTAGACGCCGAAACACCAACGAGCCGTAAATTAAATGCGATTAAAAAATGTACTGAACCAAAAATTATTTTCGTTCGTATATATGATGGAATCGGCCGATACTTGATGAAAATCCATAACTAACGTATTCCAAAAACACGTTATTTTCGTTCGTAACAACTTCACCCTTTCAAGGCAAGTTTCGAATTGGGCCCTCATTTTGTGCTATCGACAAATTATGAACGGACTATAGCTCAAAAGGTGCATATAAATGAATAATTTCATTTTTATTTTACTATATGAGCGAAAAAAAACTGTAACCAGATGAAGAATAAATAAAATCAAATCAAATGTTCCTCACATTCGTCGTTCAAAATTGTGTGAAAAAAGTTTTGAATTGAATGATCGTGGACCCCTCATACTCTCGTTGTGATGAGCCTTAGCTGATCCATTCAATAAGGAGAAAAAAGTGTTAGAAATCACACGTTCGTTAGTGCTTAGCTCGCACAAGTTTCGACTTCTAAGGGTAGTCGTTCGTAAGGATGCGATAGCTGGTTAACGGAAAATACATATTTAAACATATATGGTGCTCATAAATTGATTGAAGAATTAGTCGACTAATGCTCATTGTATTCTACTCCATGAACTGGACCTGGAATCTACACTTCGAATAAATTTCCTTAGAAGACTGCGAAATGTGACATACGACTGAGGACAACAATTTTGCCAACCGAGAGACTGAAAAATCATTAAGCAATACTTTGAGTATCAATTCAAATGTTTTTTGAAGTACTTATAATTTATAGGTAACTAGTACTATGTTGCTGTATCGGTGCTGTTCCAATGTTTTGACAGAATCAGAATCAACAAACTTAGGCATGCGCAGCGTTATAGAACAGTGCTTTCAAAAAAAATTCTACAGCGCCATCTAGTGGTGAGTTACAGAAAAATTGATAGCTCAACGATCGGTTGAGCGATGTGGAAGTTTATCACTTACCAACCAACAAACATCCATTTTTATATATATGATTATACTTGGTGGCGATATGATTTCTGGATAATTTAACTTTGAAGAAACACCGTCATGAACCATTTATTCATACTGCTTTCACTTTAGTTGAAAAAATCATTTATCTTTGTTGAAATAATTTAGCTGTAGTTTTTATACAAATTCAAAAAATTAACTTTCATTGCAGAATTTTATGTTTGACGTTATGTCTATAACCGGGATAGACATACAGAGAAACATCAGTTTTCTATTCTCAAGTATAGTCGTAGTCTCGAAATTATTTGAATTCGCAATTTGCTACCAATTTAGACGTTGCTTGGTAGCAGCCAAGAGGTTCCAAAAGCTTGACTGTCAGAGAATATTTCTATTGACTTGTGTTGAGGCTGGATTCTTCCCATCTGTCTGCACACAATTCAATAGCGTAGATTTCCGCTTGAAACACAGTCGCATAGGTCCCTAGGCAGGTTGATATCTCTGTTCTAGGTCTGCAACTGAAAACACCTGCACCAGAGCCTGAAGGTATTTCTGATCCATTTGAGAACCAACAACTATCTCTTGTCAAAATTTCCTTCTCCCAGAGGATCCAGTCTTCTCTACTCGAGAAAAGTACTGTATAAGGCAGTTCGTAGTTGAAAGTTGAAGGCATAATGTCAAACGTCATTCCCAGAATGCTGTGACTTTCAATGTGAACAGCATTGGATTGATTTGTGTAATTGGCGATGTATAAAAGTCTATTTTCAGTCCATCTAGCCTCTCCTTCCAGAAAAATGTGAAGAGGAGGTAGATCTAGAAGTATCTCCATGGCCGCTGACGATGTGGTACTGATGGCACCACTGATAGCCAGACAAGCCTGTCTCTGTAAGCCAAAGGCTCCACCTGAGCCGTTTTCTGTAAAGTCTTCGGCCACCAGCTATTGCACCATAAGTGATCATTGGTCTAACAATCATTACATAATTCCAGTTGATTTGTTTGGGACCTTAACCCCAAGTTTGAATTACATTGGTGCTGAAGAGACAGTAAGGCAACTGTCTTATTCCAAAATATTGGATATCCGCCATTGAGGATGACAGTGTTCCATGTAAGTGAACTTTTACCTCTTTTGTGTAGCAATCCTGTGAATAATATCTGATTCGATACTCCAAAAAAGTGTTTTTCCTATAAATCAACGTTTTTTCGTGTTATATGAAAGTAGTTATTTTGAGAGGTTTCTTACATCCAGTTTGTGTTACTCGTTTTCATGATCTATATATCTTCATAGAGTTCATTCCTCAAAATAACAGTAAGTGAATAATATATTACAATATATCTATCTAGTCTAGTATTTCGAGAAAAAAATACAATGGGCCTATTCTCGAGTGAATGCGGTACCAAAAGTATACTTTTCTTGTCGCTCGAAAAACATTGCAAGGAATTAAATTGTTGTATTCTCGATACAATTTGTAACATACATATACGTTATAAATTTTACTTGGAGTCGTATAACAATTTGGCATCCAGTGTCCAAATTGGTAGCTGTACAATAGATTGGGGTTCGCGGTACAAAAAACATATTTACTATGTTTTCGGAGCAAAATCTGAAGCTGAGGAGTGTGAAATATAGTTCTAATTTTACCTATGAAACGTCTCAGAAATGTTGGAATTATATCACTATGAGGTAAAATTGAAGTAATTTCAAGAATCACTTGGCATTCCCAAACAAGTTACAGTGGCTTAAGGGGAACATTTCTGATGCACTGAATGATAATTCATATCGCAGAATTATTACATTACTTTTTTTTTAATTTCATCAAAGTTGTGAATTATTATTCCTATTATTATGAAATTCTAGGAAAATGTTTGTATGTTCAATATATACTGCGTAAACGCAAGCGAGACATCAGTGGAAACACCTATTGGTGTGACACCCAAGTCCACTTGCCAAGGTGTCTCAAAGCTAAATTCATTAGTTCCTTAAAATAAATATCATGTGTTTCAGAAGATGCCTTAGTACGGGCTATTTTCATGGCAAAAATATCAAGAACGGCTACTGTACTAGTATCCTTTTATCTTTATACTATAACTTGAATTGAAATATGCAGTATTTAGGCCATCGCCATCCCATCGTATTTGAGGATATGAATCTTTCCGCTCAAAAATCTTTCAGATATGATTGGACATCTAGAATCGTCCACAGTTGAATTTGGGTACTTATATTGTATATCTACAGGTGTTTCTCTTGTTTTTTGTTTCGAGAAAAATGTTTTTCAGACAAAAAGTTGCCTTTTCAAATGAAATATTTTACTTTACTAACTACTCCATTCCAAATATTGGTCATTTCGGTATCAAAATCGTAGAAATACAATGCTGCACATGTTTCAATTTGTCACGGTTCAACTAGTACAAAATCAACAGCGTGCTTCTTGATAAATTTTAGTGAAATAGTGATATGTTAAGTCATATTTGTTTATGAATATATCAACTAGTTTATCTAAGTAATAAGCTATGTTTTGTGCTAGATCAGCCTACACTATAACAAGCAACCGTCTTTTTTCTAGTTTTCATTTATAGGAGAGTTTTATAGCGAAAAAAGAAAATCAGTGAAAAATCATAGTGGTTTTCTACGTTTCGAAATATCAGTTTCCCGTGAATGAAACAAAAATTTGGAATACTATTTATTTTTGCTAACCTAAATGATTCAGTAGTCCCGCCTGTCTCACCATTTTATAGAAAACTCCATTCTCATTTTCCAGTAATTTCAATGGTTCGTTGAATTCTACAATAGCACCTCTGTCCAAAACCATCACTTTGTCACATTCCAGAATAGTATGCAACCTATGTGCAATGATAAACATTGTGCAATTTGGAAAATGTTGATTTATTGTTTTGTGCAGCATAATATCCGTTTCATGATCCATGTTTGCAGTTGCCTCATCCAAAATGAGGATTTTGGTTTGCCGGAGAAGAGCT